AATGATTACTGGTACATGTTTGTTAGATTAAACTTTAGTCAGTAAATGATTACTAGTACATGTTTTTTTGACTTCAGTCAGTAAATGATTACTGGTACATGTTTGTTAGATTAAACTTTAGTCAGTAAATGATTACTAGTACATGTTTGTAAGGTTAAGACATTGATTGTTGTTGATACTGTTGTGAGTTTAGACATTGATTGGTGTTGATACTGTAGTGAGTTTAGACATTGATTGGTGTTGATACTGTAGTGAGTTTAGACATTGTTTGGTGTTGATACTGTTGTGAGTTTAGACATTGATTGATGTTGATACTGTAGTGAGTTTAGACATTGATTGGTGTTGTGAGTTTAGACATTGATTTGTATTGATACTGTAGTGAGTTTAGACATTGATTTGTATTGATACTGTTGTGAGTTTAGACATTGATTGGTGTTGATACTGTAGTGAGTTTAGACATTGATTGGTGTTGATACTGTAGTGAGTTTAGACATTGATTGGTGTTGATACTGTAGTGAGTTTAGACATTGATTGGTGTTGATACTGTAGTGAGTTTAGACATTGATTGGTGTTGATACTGTAGTGAGTTTGGACATTGATTGGTGTTGATAAAGTAGTGAGTTTAGACATTGATTGGTGTTGATACTGTAGTGAGTTTAGACATTGATTGGTGTTGATACTGTAGTGAGTTTAGACATTGATTGGTGTTGATACTGTAGTGAGTTTAGATATTGATTGGTGATGATCCTGTAGTGGGTTTAGACATTGATTGGTGTTGTGAGTTTAGACATTGATTGGTGTTGATACAGTTGTGAGTTTAGACATTGATTAGAGTTCATACTGTAGTGAGTTTAGACATTGAGTGGTGTTGATACTGTAGTGAGTTTAGACATTGATTGGTGTTGATACTGTAGTGAGTTTAGACATTGATTGGTGTTGATACTGTAGTGAGTTTAGACATTGATTGGTGTTGATACTGTAGTGAGTTTAGACATTGATTGGTGTTGATACTGTAGTGAGTTTAGACATTGATTGGTGTTGATACTGTAGTGAGTTTAGATATTGATTGGTGTTGATCCTGTAGTGGGTTTAGACATTGATTGGTGTTGTGAGTTTAGACATTGATTGGTGTTGATACAGTTGTGAGTTTAGACATTGATTGGAGTTGATACTGTAGTGAGTTTAGACATTGATTTGTGTTGATACTGTAGTGAGTTTAGACATTGATTGGTGTTGATACTGTAGTGAGTTTAGACATTGATTGGTGTTGATACTGTAGTGAGTTTAGACATTGATTGGTGTTGATACTGTAGTGAGTTTAGACATTGATTGGTGTTGATACTGTAGTGAGTTTAGACATTGATTGGTGTTGATACTGTAGTGGGTTTAGACATTGATTGGTGCTGATTCGGTAGTGAGTTTAGACATTGATTGATATTGATACTGTGGTGAGTTTAGACATTGATTGGTGTTGATACTGTAGTTTCCTTATTTTTTCGTGAGTACTTATTATGGCAAATGGGCTCTTCAACGTCAAATCGTGAGAATAATACATGTAATTCACAAATGGATGGTTGATTAAGAGATTTAACATAGATTTCAGTACCATAAAAATGAAGGCAAGTAATTCTATTTTGATGTGGTGCTTATTGTGAAATTACTGATTATTAATTCCATGCATATATTTAGGAATTTACAGTATGTATAAAATAAGGCAAATACACAGATGTTTTCTGGAGATTAGGAATATTGCTGTTTCACAAAGCCTGTTATCCAATACTTGAATTCTCTGAGAGAACTTTATGAAAGGAATGGACTTAGTACGATAGTCAGATAAAATGTGTCTTGACAGGGTCATTTTATGCAAAAAGTGAACTAATCTCTTTTGACTGTGTAGAATTAACAATCAGACATTGATTGGTAAATAGTAAAGCCATTAATTGGTACATGTAGAATAAAACAGTATTGGATTTGTACTTGTAGAATATGGCACGTAAAACATAGACTGGATCATTAGGTATTTGTCAAGGCACCTAAACATTGATGGTACATTTTGTAATAAGTACATAGAAAACTACACTCAGAGATTGTATTGGTGTATTTTAGAATTACATGTGTAAAGCTAAGTCAATGGAATCCAAAGACTCTAATTTAGATACAGTTGTTATTGTTTGTTTTTTTTAGTGGTGATTACAGGTCCATTGAACAAAATTATAACAAAGATGAAATATATATAGAGATAAGGAGTATTATTATATATTAATAATATAAATGTTTCAAGACTGAAGTAAAAGAAGCAGTCTCTGTATCATATTGTCAGTCATTAAATTACAGTTATAAAGATAACACGGGAGAGTGATAATGACCAGACATAAGAGGTAGTTGTAAAATAGGGTCTTATTGTGTTTACAGCTACCCTCCAGTGAAGATGCAGATGACCTTCTCCCAGAGATCTCTGCAAATGACCTTGGAATAGAAGGGTCAGTACAGACTTCTTCAAATGATGATGAAGTCAACATTTTACAAAGTGAGGCTCCTCCTCCTGTGTGCAGTTACCATGACGACAGTGATGAAGAGCTATTAGCTTGATGACTGAAATCCTAAGATCCATATCAAACTCACCACTATCATAATGTTCTGTGATGTGTGCCTTTATGTCAAATGTAAAGTGAAAGAAGAATGCAGTTATATGACAAAAATGTGCACTTGTGAAATATGTGAGATGAACATTGGTGATTGATGTGTGAATGTGTGGTGAGCACTGGTGACAAATGTTTGACTGGGTAGTGTGGATTTAGGACAAATGTATATCTATGTGTTGTGAATTGGTGCCAGATGTGTGACTATGTGGTGTGTACTAGTGGCAAATGGGTGGTTGTGTGGTGTGCTATGGTGACAGGTGGTTGTGTGGTGTGCTATGGTGACAGGTGGTTGTGTGGTGTGCTATGGTGACAGGTGGTTGTGTGGTGTGCTGTGGTGACAGGTGTGTGATGGTGAAACTACAGGTGTATGACATTGTACACTGGTGACAGAGGTTACTGGGTATTACCTTGATATGTAACTGAATTCTGTCTTTCATTTTGACCACTTCTGTAGTGTAAATACTCTTAAATCTCTTAATGCTCTCAAGAAAACTTTATGATGCTTAAACTGAAAGTGTATGTATTTATTAGGTCAGTGACCTATTGCTATCCGTTTTCATCAGTCGTCATGCTTCGTGTGTTAACATTTCAGCTTTATTTCCAGTTTTGGCAGAAAGCATCTATGGGTGAAGGGGAACAAAAATTAAGAATTATATGGTCCCTGCCCCCCTGGGGCCTGAGGGATGGGGCCAAAACCACTAAAATTAATGCAATCTTTTAAAATCTTCTTCTTTACTCCAGGACATCAAGCAGTCAATCTGTTGGCATGATTGTTATCGACACTGAGCCCTCTTCCAAAATTGTGAAATCCATGGCCCCAGGGTCAGGGGTTCTAGTGCTAGGGCGGGGCTCAATAGATTATACAGTGAAAATGCATTATTATACCCCATGCAACAAGTTGAGTAAGGTATAATGTATTTTACCTTTCTGTCAGTCCTGGTTTTTTTAGCTCACCTAATGGGATTTTTCTGATCACATTTTGTTTGATGTAGTCTGTCTGTCTGTAAACTTTTCACATTTTCAACTTCTTCTTAAGAACCACTGAGCCAATTTTAACCAAACTTGGTACAAAGCATCCTTAAGAGATGTGGAGTTTAAATTGTAAAAATAAAGGGCAAAGTCCCCTTCCAAGGAGAGATGATCAAGAAAAGACAAATATAGGGTGGGGTCATTAAAAAAATCTTCTCAAGAACCAATGGGCCATAAAAGCTGAAACTTATGTGGAAGCATCCATGGTTAGTGTAGATTTTAGATTTTTAAATCATGACCCCCAGGGGTATGGCGCAGTGTTTTCCTTTTATTTCAAAGTAAAGGGTTAGAGATCAGTTGTAAAAGTCTTGGGTATGAGGTCTATGAACAAAATCTCTGTGGACCTTACAACAAATTGTTATTTCAAAGCGGCATTTTTGTCAAGTGGTCAATTTGGTCGGTTGCTGGTTCTTAGGGAAAACACTGAGGGCGGGGCCATAATAGGGAATCCAAGTTTTACATAGAAATATATAGAAAAATCTAAAAAAAAAAATCTTCTCAAGAACTAGTGGTACAGGATAGCTGAAACTTATGTGGAAGCATCCTGGGGTAGTGTAGAGTCTAAATTTGTAAAATCATGACCCCTGGGGGTAGGGCAGGACTACAATAGGGAATCCAAGTTTTACATAGAAATATACAGGAAAAATCTTTAAAAATCTTCTCTAGAACCAGTGGGCCAAAATAACTAAAACTTATGTGGAAGCATCCTGGAGTAGTGTAGATTCTAAATTGTTAAAATCATGACCCCAGGGGGTAGGGCTGGGCCACAATAAGGAATCCATGTTTTATATATATAGGAAAAAATCCTCTCAAGAACCAGTCGGCCAGGAAAGCTGAAACTTATATGGAAGTATCCTTGGGTAGTGTAGATTCTAAATTGTTAAAATCGAGATGGGTTGGTGGGGGGGGGGGGGTGGGGGTAGAGAGCCACAATAGATATAAGAAGATGGGAAATGTGATAAAAAACTGCATCACCAAAGTTACTCAGGTGAGCAATGTGGTCCATGGGCCTCTTGTTTTCTCACAACCCCTCATAAACTGCTGTACAGAATTTTGTCAAACTTTGCAGACATTTAGGACACAATGTGTAGATGTGCATATTACCAGGAAAATCTGATTCCTTTATTTTTTCCGGGAATTTCTGCACTTTTACACTTAGATTTTTGGCGATATCTTGAATATAGAGATGAACAGTTTGTCAGCGCAACTACTGTAGAAGCACAAATTTTCGTGTGGATAAAATTTCATTGATTTGTCATCTAAAACAGTTTCGTGGGCATTTAATTCCGTTGTTTTGAAAGTTACCCTATTCAGTTTATAATCATATAAAATTTCGTGTGGGATTTAATTTCGTTGATAATTGTTAATAACGAAATAAACGAAATTTAATCCCCCACAAATATTTGTGCTTTTACAGTACTCATAAACCGCTGCACTTTGTCTGAAAATAAATTAGTAATTAGTGCTTTGAAATCTGCTCTTTGGTTAACAATTTATTATGAAATAAATTTTGAATTATAAGGCCCCAGGATCAGTGGTTCCTGTGGGATGGGGTGCATCAGTGTTGGTTATAAAGTGGAAATATATTTTCACTTTGTTACTCTGATCTACCTCTGGGTATTAAGTAACCGAAGAAAGCATGCTAAGTGTATAGTTATGATAAAAACATTGGTGCCTCTTTTAAAATTATGAATTTCATGTCTTTTGGTTTAAAAAAAAACATGAACCAAATTCAATTTTTGGAAAGTTATTACATGATACTCAGGTGACCTATAAATATAAGACCTGTTGGCCTCTTGTTTTACAGAACAATTTGTATAGTTTTGAACTTGTGTATGTTAATTTATGACTGTGTTTAAATTTCATCTGTAGAAGTTTACATTGCTACATGTTTAAGCCCAAGCATTTATTCTCACTCTGGGCTAATTGATTTGATCAGCAAAAAAGTTTCCCATATTTCATAATGGTATAATTTACTTCTTACAGTGTTCATGATTACCAGTATATACATGTGATTGAGTTTACAGATTACTGGTTTTGACAGTGTGAAGTCAATGATTTCAGTATGTGTCCAATTCAGAGTAAAAATTTTGTTTGTTAAAAATGAAAAAAAGTTAAACTTCGATAATTTTGAATATATCTGCAGGAAGAAAACTGCTCTTTGCATATCAACATAATCATTCATATTATACAATAGTGAGGAGAATTACATAGAAATGAATGCAGTATGGTTGACAATTCTGTATTTGATTAGACTTGGGTGATAATGATGACTTGTGATATTTAGGAACTTTATTTATGGAAATTCTAATATATTGTGAACAAAGGATGAGTTTTGAAATATTGGTGTCTGTGATGACAACATCATGAAAATGTGAAACCCTGATTATTTTACTGCCTTGATGTTGTTTTGTTATATTCTTTCTTTGATTTAATAGAAGGACAATTTATAAATAATAAACATTGTATTCATTAATAAGAATTAAAGTTTTGTTTATTTGCTCTAAATGATTCATTAACATATGAGTATGTTTTAGGTCTGTTTCATGTAAGTGCCTCAGATTGTTTATGCCCTTGAAATAATTCTGTCATTATTTATTATAAACACTAGGTAACAAAACATATTTTTGATTATTCCTGCCTTCATAATTGTCTGATGCCTTTTCAACTCTTCTGGGCCAAAGGCTCAAAAAGCTAAATATAAATATCATTCCAAAACTGGTTTTAAACACGAACCAAATTCAGTTGCTGGAAAGTTATTACCATATGTGATATTCAGGTGACCTATAAGGCCCCTGGGCCTCTTGTTACACATAATAAAGATGTGATCTCTAACTAGCAAGTTGCTTAGGTGAGCGGCTTTTTATCTGGTAATAACTACTTATTAAGTCGTAATAAGGACTTTTTATTAGCTCACCTGAGCTGAAAGCTCAAGTAAGCTTTTCTGATCACATTTTGTCTGTAGTCTATCTGTCTGTTCGTCTTTAAACTTTTCACATTTTCGACTTCTTCTCAAGAACCACTGGGCCAATTTTAACCAAACTTGGTACAAAGCATTCTTGGGTGAAGGGGAATTTAAATTATAAAAATAAAAAGCCAAGTCCCCTTCCAATGGGATATAATCAAGAAAATACAAAAATAGGGTTGGGTCATACATAATCATCTCAAGAACCACTTGTCCAGAAAAGCTGAAAGTTTTGTGGAAGCATCTTGAGGTAATGTAGATTCTAAATTGTTTAAATCATGACCCTGGGGGGAGGGGGAGGCCAAAATAGGGAATCCAAGTTTTACAAAGAAATAGATAGGAATAAACTTTAAAAATCTTCTCAAGAAGCACTGGGCCAGAAAAGCTGAAAGTTATAGTAAGTATTACTAAGTAAGTAAATATTTTTAGCTCTTCTGAGCCAAAGGCTCAAAGAGCTAATGCTATGGCCATTTGTGCGGTGTGCGTAAACTTAGAATATGGGCCATAACTCAAGAACCCCTTGGCCAATCAGTACCAAATTTGTCACAGGGTATCCTTGGCCCAAGGGCTACCATTTATACTAAAATAAGGGTTGGGACCCTCAAACAAGGGGAGATAATCAGGAAAACAAAACCAAAAGTACTGGTTGCTAAAAAATCTTCTCCAGAACCACTAGGCAGATTTTCACCAAACTTACATACAAGGATCAGGATATGTCGAAGATTAAAATTTGCACGGGGAATTACCCTGGGGCAAAGGGTGTGGTCTCAAGGTCACTTCAAAGTTGACCTAAATTTACAATTAATAAAAACGTGTATATTTTGCTTACTATAAGGAGTAGGATCATCAATTCTTGTAAGTTGATGCATCTTACGACTTCACATCATGTTAATACAAAAGTAGGTCACGGTGACCTACTTTTTAAATTTTGCGGGGATTTGTTTTCAAATTGATTTGAAGGCATATTTTGGACACTTTAAGGCCTATGATCATCAAACTTTGTCATTTGATGCATCTTGGGTCCTCGAACAATGTCAACTTAAAAGTAGGTCACCATGACCTACTTTTTGAACTTTATGACATCCTTTTAAAAACATTAAATCCCATTATTTCAGACACTGGGTGGTTTAGAATCATCAAATCTTGTACTTTGATGCATCTTGGGACCTTATAACATATTTATGAAAAAGTAGGTCACTGTGACCTACTTTTTGAATTTTGCCGACATTTGTTTTCAAATTGTTTAAAACGCATATTTTGATTATCTTCAGACCTACGATCATCAAACTTGGTCAGTAGATGCATCTTGGGTCTTTTGAAAAATGTCGACCAAAATGTAGGTCACGATGACCTACTTTTGACATTTTATGGCATTATTTAAGTATCTTAGGTATTTATTGGCTTAGAATCATCAAACTTTGTGAGTCCATGCATATTTGGTTTTCGGAGAGTGACGACCTAAAAGTAGGTCACGGTGACCTACTTTTGACATTTTATGGCTTTATTTAAGTATCCCTGGTACTTATTGGCTTAGAATCATCAAACTTTGTGAGTTGATGCATCTTGGGTTTTCGGAGAGTGACGACCAAAAAGTAGGTCATGGTGACCTACTTTTTTTATTTTGTGACTATAATTAAGTATCTCTGGTACTTATTGACCTAAAATCATCAAACTTTGTCAGTTGATGCATCTTGGGTTTTCGGAGAACGTCGACCAAAAAGTAGGTCACAGTGACCTACTTTTGACATTTTATGGCTATATTTAAGTATCTCAGGCACTTATTGGCTAAGAATCATCAAACTTTGTCAGTTGAGGCATCTTAGGTTTTTGGAGAATGTCGACCAAAAAATAGGTCACAGTGACCTACTTTTGAATATCTCAGGTACGTATAAGCTTAGAATCATCAAACTTTGTCAATTTAGGCACCTTGGGTTTTCGGAGAACCTCGACCAAAAAGTAGGTCACTGTGACCTACTTTTGACATTTTATGGCTATATTTAATTATATCTAGTACTTATTGGCTTGGAATTATCAAACTTTGTCAGTTGAGGCATCTTAGGGTTTCATTGAATGTCCAACAAGAAGTAGGTCACAGTGACCTAATTTTGAATATCTCAGGTACTTATTGGCTTAGAATCATCAAATTTTGTCAATTTAAGCATTATGGGTGTTTGAATAATGTCGACCAAAAAGTAGGTCACTGTGACCCACTTTTGACATTTGATGGCTATATTTAATTATCTCTGGTACTAATTGGCTTAGAATCGTCAAACTTTGTCAGATGATGCATCTTGGGTTTTCAGAGAATGTTGACCAAAAAGTAGGTCATGGTGATTTACTTTTGAATATCTCAGGTACTTATTTAATTAGAATCATCAGTCTTTGTCAATTAATGTATCTTGAGTCCTCAGAAAATTTCAATCAAAAGGTAGGTCACTGTGACCTACTTATGGTATTTTATAATTATATTATAATATCTTCAGTTTTAACTGGCTAAATATTATCAAACTGTGTAAGTTGATGCATTTTGGGTCTTATGATTCTATTAGAGTTGGAGGCTTCTAATAGAAGTGATAGGTTGTACAATTTATCAGAAGAGCGATTCAAGGTCCTTGGGCCTCTTGTATTATAGTGACATGTGTACAGACAACAAGTAAATACAATATAAACGTATATACATCACACCCGGCCCATTGGACCTATATGTCACTTTAATATATGTACAGTATTACTATAAGTTATATGGAAGCATTCTGGGGTAGTGTAGAAGATATATGAAAGCATTCTGGGGTAGTGTAGATTCTAACTTAAAGGTACTTGGACACAGATTTGAAGTTAATATTTTCTCTATAATATTACGACTTATATATTTTAAAAGCATTTCACACAAAAATTAATTAAAAATATTATCTCATTTAAAAGTTAATAAAATTTTAATTTTTTTGGCGGGTTTGATTGACACATCCTTGCACTTTCAGAAATTTTAACTTTATACTTAATCCTTTGGAAAAGTGACAATCTTGTTGTGTATGAATGAAAAATATTACTACTATAATCCAGAAAATTCAGAGTAGACATGTTCGAAAGCAAAACAAACACACAATATATTGTCAGTCCGTGCAGTTGTGGTGAGCAGATTTTGGCGATTAAACGCACCCAGTGAATCGTTACAAAAACTGTGTACATAACACAAGTGTGCTTGATTTGCTAAACTCTGTACACAATGGAATGACAATACTTGTGAAGGAGTTCTGCTTTCTAACATTTCTACTCTGAATAAAATTATTTTTCTGGATTTAAGTTTTAATATTTCTCATTAATACACAACAAGATTGCCACTTTTCCTAAGGATTAAGAATAAGGTTAAAATTTGTGAAAATGCAAGGATGTGTCAATCAAACCCGCCAAAAAAATTAAAGTTTTAATAACTTTTAAATGAAATAAGATTTTTATTTAATTTTTGTGTGAAATGCTATTAAAATATAAAATTCGTGATATGATACAGAAAATATTAACTGCAAATCTGTGTCCAAGTACCTTTAAATCATGACCCCCTTGGGTAGGGTGGGGCCACAATAGGGAATCGAAGTTTTACATAGAAATATAAAAAAAAATTTTAAAAGCAGAAAAGCTGAAAGTTATGTAAAAGCATCCTGGCATAGTGTAGATTCTAAATTGTTCATATCATGAACCCTGGGGTAGGGCGGGGCAACAATAGGGAAAGGGGATTTGAATTTTTTAATACTTGAGAATGTAACTTTTTCAATAAAGCTTATAAGTTTTTCCCTATATATTTCTATGTAAAGATTTGATCCATCATTGTGGTCCTGCCCTACCCCCGGAGTCATGATTTGAACAAACTTGAATCTGCACAAACAGAGGATGCTTCCACATGAGTTTCATCTTTCCTGGTCCAATGGCTCCAGAGAAGAAGATTTTTTTTTTTAAAAATCCTATATATTCTTAGGTAAAACTTTGATCCTTCATTGTGGCCCCGCCCTACCCCCTGGGTCATGATTTGAACATACTTGAATCTACACTACCTGAGGATGCTTCCACATGAGTTTCATCTTTCCTGGCCCAGTGGTTCTGGAGAAGAAGATTTTGAAAGATTTTTTCCTATACATTCCTGTGTAAACCTTTGATCAGTCATTGTGGCCCTGCCCTAACCCTGGGGGTCATGATTTGAACAAACTTTAATAATCTACACTATCTGATGATGCTTCCACATGAGTTTCATCTTTCCTGGCCAAATGGTTCTGGAGAAGATTTTTTTAATGATGTCATTAATTTTTCATTAATTCATAATTATCTCCATTTGGAATAGGGCTTGGCCCTTTATTTGAACAAACTTAAATTCCCTTCACCCAATGATACTTTGTGGCAAGTTTGTTTGAAATTGGTAAAGTGGTTCTTGAGGAGAAGATGAAAATGTGAAAATTTTACGACGACGACGACGACGACTACAGTGAAAACGACAGACAACGGACAAATTTTGTTCAGAAAAGCTC